CCATCGCTGACATTCTTTCTTCCAGTTGATCGAGTCGGTTACTGAAGCTTGTGCATTTGTCACGTATTTCTCGTGTCATGGTTTTCATCTCTTTCATTTCGTTTATGACCTTCTCTGCATTAATTACTCTAGCCATCAATTCTTCCACTTTTTTTTCAAGATTTTTAGTTTCTTTGTGCTGGGTACGTAATTCCTCCTTTAGCTCTGAGAAGTTTGATGGACTGAAGCCTTCTTCTCTCATCTCGTCAAAGTCATTCTCCGTCCAGCTTTGATCCGTTGCTGGCGATGAGCTGCGCTCCTTTGCCGGGGGAGATGTGCTCTCATTTTTTTGAATTTCCAGCTTTTCTGCCCTGCTTTTTCCCCATCTTTGTGGTTTTATCTGCCTCTGGTCTTTGATGATGGTGACGTACTGATGGGGTTTTGGTGTAGGTGTCCTTCCTGTTTGATAGTTTCCCTTCTAATAGTCAGGACCCTCAGCTGTAGGTCTGTTGGAGATTGCTTGAGGTCCACTTTAGACCCTGTTTGCCTGGGTATCAGCAGCAGAGGCTGCAGAAGATAGAATATTGCTGAACAGCAAGTGTACCTGTCTGATTCTTGCTTTGGAAGCCTCCTCTCAGGGGAGTACTCCACCCTGTGAGGTGTGGGGTGTCAGACTGCCCCTAGTGGGAGATGACTCCCAGTTAGGCTACTCAGGGGTCAGGGACCCACTTGAGCAGGCAGTCTGTCCCTTCTCAGATCTCAACCTCGGTGTTGGGAGATCCACTGTTCTCTTCAAAGCTGTCAGACAGAGTCGTTTGCGTCTGCAGAGGTTTCTGCTGCGTTTGTTATTGTTTACTGTGCCCTGTCCACAGAGGTGGAGTCTACAGAGACAGGCAGGTTTCCTTGAGCTGCTGTGAGCTCCACCCAGTTTGAGCTTCCCAGCGGCTTTGTTTACCTACTTAAGCCTCAGCAATGGCAGGCGCCCCTCCCCCAGCCTCGCTGCTGCCTTGCCGGTAGATCACAGACTGCTGTGCTAGCAATGAGGGAGGCTCCGTGGGCATGGGACCCTCCCGGCCAGGTGTGGGATACAATCTCCTGGTGTGCCCGTTTCCTTAAAGCGCAGTTTTGGGGTGGGAGTTACCCGATCTTCCAGGTGTTGTGTGTCTCAGTTCCCCTGGCTAGGAAAAGGGATTCCCTTCCCTCTTGCACTTCCCAGGTGAGGTGATGCCTCGCCCTGCTTTAGCTCTCGCTTGTGGGGCTGCAGCAGCCGACCAGCACTGATTGTCCGGCACTCCCTAATGAGATGAACTCAGTACCTCAGTTGAAAATGCAGAAATCACCAGTCTTCTGTGTCGCTCGCGCTGGGAGTTGGAGACTGGAGCTGTTCCTATTCGGCCATCTTGCTCCGCCCGGTAAAGTCTTTAGATTACTCTGGGATCAGTAATTCTAGGATCTAATTCTAGTGCTATCACTAGCTAGCTCTGAGAGGTAGGGCAAGCTACTCAATGGCTCTTGTCTTCACTTTGTGTTTCAGTAATATGTATAGGTAATCTCTGGTCCCTGACAATCAAATAGCCTGTGAGGTTTTTTGCTTGTTTGTTGTTACTTAGATAATATCATTGCATAGTTATCTTTGCAGTTCCTGAAGCCATGTAGCTGTGGCTATCTTCCAGTCCACTCATTCCTGTCTGTGTGCATTTGAGCAAATTATATCACCTCTCAGTGTGTCCTTTTCCCATCTGTAGAATACGAATAATAATCATACCTACCTAGTGGGATTGCTGTCAGAATTAAATAAGCTATATTTCAACAATTCTAATATAAAAATAAACCCTTATTTTTGCACATATTAAAACAGGACAAATGTTAAAGAAATCAAAAATAAGCATTTGTCAGAGTTAAATTGGCAGCATTTTACCCTAGCAGTTCATAAAATTGTAGCATGTTTATACTCTAGTGGTAGATTAGAAGAATTATTGTAATGCATATGACCTGCTTAGAATAGTGTCTGGCACAATTTTTTCTCAATAGCTGATATAACATTTCTCTATAAGTAAGCAATACTTCTTATATCTAAGTTAAGAGTGATAGGTTAATAATAAGCTAATAATAATTAAAAACTTGCTGATCACATCATTCTCGGTTTTATTATGTATCTAGTGTCATAGCATAAATTTAAGAATTTCATCCAGATTAGTCAGCATTCATTGACATTGAATATGACTCTATTTAACAGTATAGTTTTCTACAGTTAAATATTTGTGTATTTGTGTGTGTTAAACAGAACAATCATCTTTCTTTTTACTATATTAAGGGGATTAAAAGGGAGGGGAAATATACATTGTGAAAAAATAAAAATTAGGGAACACCACGCTTGGTACAGAATTGAATATATTGAAAAATAACATTGCAGATGCCAATTTTGTAGGTTATAATCACCTTCCATTGTTAATTCTCAAGAATAATTAACACTAGATTAATAACCTTTAAAAAAGTGGTTACTAAAACTACCCATTTTATTATTGGTCTACAGATATTAAGCATATATACAGAAACCTTGTATCTTAGAATGTTTTTTAAAAAACTTGAAAGATGACATCACTTATCTCTTTTCTTCAAGTTTTATTTTATAAGAAATTTCAGATATTGTCTCTCTGAATTTAATTATAAATGCATGTTAAAGAAATTAAATGTATTATGATCAAAAACAGTTTAAACTAACCAAGGATAAAATGTGAATGATGGGAGAATATACAAATAAACTTCTTGAAACGGTCCCTAGCACAGAGTACAAGGTACTATTTAACACAGAAAGACATTTAACTATAGAAAACTATGCTGTTAAGTAAGTATAAGTTGTCAATATCATCATCATTATTTAGTATCACAGATCATCAGGGATGGGTAGGGCCTTCCAGATAACATAGTTCAAAACCATTCAGAGGAAATGGGCCTGGAGCATGATGGTTAAGAGAGAATTTATGCAATGAAAGATTTATAGAAATATTTTGCCTTCTTTGTTTATAAATAAACCACAGTAGATTTATTTTCACTGTTCTTTGACAAATGGTCTAATAATATAAATAAACATCATAATTCTAGATGTCATTTTTTTTCTTCAAATTCTCTAGACTTTTAGTCAAACCCTGTACAAACTGTCTTCTTGTGCTTTGGACCTTATAAAATATCTAAGGGAGAAAAAAGTATGATTTATAGAAAATCATTTGAATTATATCTCATTTAAATTCTCTACAAAAAATAATGCAATCTTCAATAAATCATCTCACCACTTTTGGTAATCAAGGGGATTTTCTGAGGAAGATGGTTTCTGAGGAGTATGGTTAAGTCAATAAACACAAACATAAAATGTTATAAAAATAAATATAATTCTTAGAAATCTGAAATCTACTTGGATCTTAGTGACTTTCACAACATCCTAGGAGGGTTTTGTACTATTTATTTTAATCTTCACTTATGAAAAAGAAATTTCTCTGCCATCCAATTAGAACTATTGTGTTATTGTTGGTAATTAATGGGAACAATTTTATTGTCTTAGATAGTTGAAATGTACACAGTGAAGAGGAAAAATCAAAGGGTTAAAAACTATGGTTCTTCGCTCAATGTTCAAGTGATTTAGGTTTTGGATAAAAAAAGAAAGAAAAATATTAAAAAGTATATATACCGAAGTTTAGAAACACATTTCTAAGTATTCAGACCCACACAAAGTAAAATAAATAGAATAAAAATATGCGAAGGAAAATTAGGGGGTAGAGCTGTTCAAAATATTATTCAATCCTCTTTCAACCTCCACTCATGTTTTATCCAAAAAGAAGTTGCTTTCTATATTAAGTCTCTATTAATCAAAGCAGTTTCTTCAATATACATTACCAGTGGGATTTTTGAAAATAATAGATTCCTTTAGATGGTAAAAGCAATAATTATTACAATTTTTTTTTTTTTTTTTACTAAAATGATTAAGAAAAGGTTTTAAGGGAATAGAGGGGACCTACGTTCTGTAAGAAAAGAGAATACACACACAGGCACACACACATACGCACACACATACATTACCTCTCTTTCTACAATCTATATGTTACAGCTGAAAAAAAATACGTGAAACAGTATGTATGTTTTAATACTCGTTAACTATTAAAACATAATTCTTTAAAAATGGGACTCTTCTTCCATTTCACAACAATGCAAAAATAGTTAACGCGACTGAACTCTACACTTAAAAATAGTTCAGATAGTAAATTCTATGCCATGTGTTTTTTACCACGACTTGAAAAAAAATACATGAAAGATAATAGATTTCTATACCCAGCCATAGTGGAATAATTGGCAGTAGAAATGCCCTTCCAACATAAAAGAAAAAGATAAAAACAACTATGGATCTTCTACCTTTTAATGTGGATGAACTAACTTTTTTAAAAAAAGAAAGTAATGGCTTTTAAGTTCAAAAACACAGGGAAATAAAAGATCAAACTGATAAAAAAGTAGTAAAAAAAAAAAAAAAAGGAAAAGCTTCATTAAAATTCAAATTTAACCAGTCATATTAAGCAGCAATGTCTTTCTCATTTTCCTGAGTATGGGAGATGAATCGAATCAATCTTTCAAAATAGGTGTGCTTTTCTTTCAGTTCAATTAATAAATACAAATCAATCCAGAACATCTAGCTTTGAAATAAAGTTGCTCATTACTTTCTTTAATAGGTAAAAATCAGTTCTTTTCATTCCATGTTACTAACATTATGTTTAATAGTTGGACCTTTACTCAACAGAAAAAATAATATATATATATTTTATATATATATATATATTTATATATATATATATATATATTCCTGGATTTTTGTTCTAAAATTATTTACTTAAAATTATTTTCAAAAGCATTAGTATAAAAATGTGACCACAGAAGAAGTGGGCAGAGAAAATAATACTAGTTAAGATAGAGTATTTAAAATTATGAAGACAATGAAAATTTATCAGTACTAACATGGTCTCTATAGATATATGGCATACCTCGTAATGGCTTTCTTCATTCTCCTGAATGTGGAAACCCGCAGAGCTGGGACATTTCTGAGGAGTGACAGGAATATTGTCACTTTTGCTGTGTGAGTTACACTGAAAGAGATTACCAAATAATTGTGACAAACTACTCCACATTTAGAGTGTCCATTGAGAGACATGGCTGTTTGCTATGAGCCTAATAATGGAATACCACTTGAGCTAACAAGGGTCCACACCCAGAGATACATGCATTAAGACTGAGTCTGTACCACAAAGATTTTTTAATTGTCCCCGGATAAACAAATTGTTAAAATGTTTTTACTAAAACTAGAGAAATATAAGATTCAATAATTTTACTTTTACTTTTTTTAGGCAATATTTATTTATTACATTTATGACTTCAGTAGCTAAAGCTCATATGGTGCTATTTGGGTGAGATATTATTTAAGAGTTTGATATATATTACACACATATTAGCCTGTGACACAGATATTATTAACTACCTCCATTTACAGAAGAGGAGACTGAAGCATAATTCCTCCCCCCATAAAGTTATGCTGTTGCCTAGCCTTTCTGGAACCATTCCCCATATCCTTATCTACCACATGAACTGCCTTTTAAGTGATACATTTGAAATAGATAAAACTGAAAAAGCAGAAGTTTAGGATCTTAAAATACTAATTGACTTATTTCTGTACTAAATAGACAGCACTTTTAAAAAAACAGGTTATCTAAAATAATTTACCTGGAAATTGATATGAATTATAGAACATAAGATGTTACATTATGGCTTGGCCTTTCTCTGTGAACATATTAAAATGACAGTTTTCCATATTCCTCACACAAGTTTTTCATGTGAAAAGAAGACATTTTCCACTTCCTGTTTTCTTACTTCTTTTCTAAATCTTTAATTAGACTCAAGGAAAGCAATATTTGTAAGTATTGCTGTTTGGCCATTTATTAAACATAACTTTGTAGGTTTTAAGGTTTCTACTTTGATAAAAATATATTGTTGTGCCTCCAGAAAAGGTTCATCATTATATATAACCTTTCTTCTTAAATAAAACTATAATATATGCATAGATTTCATGACATTATGAGCAAAGAGACTATTCTTTTCAAAACTAGTATGCCATGTTTCCTATTCATTGATTAAATGCTACCTTTACTAGCTTAAAGAAAAATCTGTTAGAAAATTACTGTTAGACATTTTTTAAAGCAAATGTGTTTTAGAATTTTACTAGCTCAAAGAAAAATCTGTAAGAAAATTACTTAGACATTTTAAAAAGCAAATGTGTTTTAGAATTTTAATATATTGTGTTCACTCTATTTTCATTTCAAGACCATCATTTTATATATTTAAATATATGTTAAAGCACTGTCATTACATTTTGAAGATATCAATTATCTCATTTATTTTTATTTGTTTAAAATAAATAGCTATGTGGCAATGAAGAAGGCATAACTTTAAATTCATATACCCATCACTATAAGCCTTTTAACATGAAAAATTATTTTGTATCTGTTCTCTCTTTACAATTTAATTTTAACCCTATTCAAAACTTACCTCCTCTAGCAACTCTCTTCATGCGTTATTCAACAAATGTTGACTGCCATTTTAATCTGTTTTTAAGTAACTTTCATGTGTAATTTGTAAAATGTTCCCTTGCAATATTAATTATTTGAATGTTCCTAAGTTTGTCTGAACAAATTCACTGTTAGCAACAAAGGCCTTTCCTCTCCACAGCAGATTTTTGGCATTCAAAAAAAAAAGAGCATAGACCTTAAAACAGTTATTTTCATCTGTGATGTCCATAGACATTTTAATCATTCAAATCCTATCCCTAGCCTCTCCACATATCTATTCATGCTGATTAATCTTTTTAAAAGATTTCATGTATTATACAGTTTTTCTCCTAAGAAACATTTCCTAAATTTCTCTGGCCCAGCAGTGAGTCTCACCCTGACTATATATTAGAATCACCTGGGGAGATTTTTAAAAATGTCAATGACTGAGCCCCACCTCACATCAGTTAAATTGAAGCTCAGATATAAATATTTTAAAAATATTCAGGCAATTCTAATGTGTAGCCAGAGTTTAGAATCCTTGGATTAAGGTAAAAATTTCCTTGTCTAGCACTCAGGAAGCTACATTAAATTTTGGCCTCACTCCTATTTCAATCTGATATCTTCCTCCACAGAATTTTTTCTTCCTTGTTAAAATTTAACCCATCATATATTGGGTTTCCCCCCACCCCATGCATATATCATAAAAGTGTCTGAGTCTGAAAAAAATCCTATATTTGTATAACAGTTTTTGCTTTAAATACAAAATCTTATGTATTATCTACAAGGAACCTCTGTAGACTGGTAGAAAATATAATCCATCCTTTAACAGATTATGAAGACACAGGTTCAGATATATTCATTGCCATTTGCTCAAGGATTTGCCCTGTAAAAACAGGACAAGTGTTCACTTCATTCTATTTTGGGCAATTTCTACTGTGCCATATCTCCCTTAATGGGTTCATCTATTACTCATTCATTCACTCATTCTATTCTGTTTGTTTGTTTGATAATCAGACATTTACTGAGTGCATGTTATGTGTCAAGATTGTACTGGATCATCAAGATATGGCGTTTAATACTCTCACATTAGCCCTGAAACAATACATGAAAATAAATAACTGCCATGATGCATGAACATGCCACCTGCAGACTACTAAGGGACAGAGAAGAGCATGCATAGACTCCCAGGTTAGACACATGAATAGAGAGTCTCAAGAGATGGACTGATGAGGGAATCATGGTTAGCACACATTTGTGACAGAAGGAACTGCATATGCAAAGGCCAGAAGACACGAATTCTCATGAGTCGTGAGTAATTTGATAGTAGTTCAAACATGAAGAATGTAAGGATTGATTTCAGAAGAAATAGAACCTGTCAGTGCATTAAATTCAATAGTACAACACATAACAAGATGTTGTAGAATTGGACTTAATATAAAGGCCAACAGTGCCAAGAGTGAGCTTTAAAGGTCATTCTTTTTCTTCCAACTTTTCCAAGAAAATATGCAACATAACAAAATGAGTGCATTTGCAATATCATTGTGATGCCCAGTTAAGTCCTTCCGTCCCTAAAAGATCTCACCCCTAAGCCTCTCCTGTATTTCATTCTGGAGCAGCTCTTGTTTTTGGAACAGTGAATGGCATCAAAGGAAAATTTTTAACTTACTGTTCTTTCCTTATTTTTTAAAATTGAGTCTTATGAGGTAAATTTCCTCTGCAAATTATAAATATATAACTCAGAGCAAAATAAAAGAAAAAAGTAACACCGTAAACAATATTTTGAGATTAACTATTATAAATAGCCAAACTTTTAAGAAAAAAAAATTCTTATGGGAAAAAATTTAATCACTATGAATCCTTCCTAACAAATTTCTACTTCCGGAAGAGTTGCAGCATTTTCTAAAAATAATATTTATTTTAGAAGTCTCAGCTTGGTGCAATGGCTCACGCCTGTAATCCCAGCACTTTGGGAGGTTGAAGTGGGCGGATCACCTGTGGTCAGGAGTTTGAGACCAGCCTGGTCAACACGGCAAAACTCCGTCTAATGAAAATATAAAAATTAACCGGGTGTGGTGGTGCATGCCTGTAATCCCAGCTACTTGGGAGTCTGAGGCACAAGAATAGCTTGAACTCAGGAGGTTGAAGTTGCAGTGAGCCGAGATTACACCACTGCACTCCAGCCTGGGTGACAGAACGAGACTCTGTCTCAAAAAAAAAAAAAAAAAAAAACCTCTCGAGGTTCATCCAACCCAACAATTTTACTGTTTGCCAAATTTAATATAAATGACTGCATATTGGATTATGGGTAAGATGGATTTGCTAAATCAGATTTATATTGGGGGGTACATATGTAAATCAAACTTGAGAAGTCTAAAGTTCAATAATAACAATCATATTCAATGAAAATCACTGAAAATACATTTGATTTATACTTTAAACCAGTTCTTTATTTTTCATCACCTATGACTGAAAGTCTGTATTGTAATATGTGGATAAATCTTGCCACTCCAAAACATCCATTGTAGTTCCTGGGAAAATTATCATTCACTACCTATAGAAATACTGGCTCTAAGTTTTCACATAATCAGGTATTTTTTCATTTTTGATACAAATTTTCAAAAAAGAACTTCTAGCCATATTAAGAGAAAAATAATCAACAGTAGTAAAAACAACAAAGTTTTATGAAAGATCTTTTTATGAAAAACACAGCTGGTTTTTTTTGCTAAAAAGAGGGTTCTTTACATTTTCCACTCAACTGTAATGCAGTAGCAATGTTTAATATTATTTATGATTCTATTACTACTCCTACTTTCTTATAAAATCAAAGTTGTTTACTAAAAATCAATAGCACTTTCATAAAAGTTTTGCAGTCATTATAGAGGCAATAGTTTTGTGCTTTTGTGCTATAGGTTTCATTAAATAACACTTCCACTTATTTAAAAACTCCCACTGAAAATGTTATTCCTACCCATTTTAATAAACTAAAGATTCTTTTCATGAAGAATTCTAAAACAGAACATTTGTTTAATAATTCAAAAGAAATTCATATTTGCAGAAATGAATCTACTTTAAATAATAGTCTAAACTTAGTGTCTTCAACTTCTCTCTATCCATTTTTTTAGAGATCCACATGTATTAGGTTTCAAGCACGCCCATTCCACTGAAATGGCCCTACTACAATCACCTATGATTTACACATTACTAATTCAAATGGCAATTCTCAGTTCTTATCTAATGCAACACAACTGAGTACTACCTCTTGTTTCATTTATGTACTGGCTTTCAAGGACGCTATACACTCATGGCTTTCTTCTCGTGCTCTCTCTCTGGAATCATGTAACTGTTTGTGCTGTTGTCAAAATTGAAAGGACTAGAGAGGATGAAACTGAGTACTTCCTCAGAAAGTGTTTTCTTCAGTGGAGTCAGTTTAGCAATTACACCCATATTGAACAGGTTCTGATTCCAAAATATTTTCTCAGACACAGGAACAATCTTCTATCCATAAGAAGATAAGAAAAGGGCTCTTAGAACACCTCCAATCATTC